AGTGGATTTCTTAAGATTTTCTACATATAACATGTGACTTGCAAAGAGATTTTCATAATTTTTACTAATTATAGTTGGTTTGCTGCACAGAACTGCCTTTGAAGAAGTGGATCTCTGCCATTTAACTTTTAATATAAATATTATCAACACATAACTTACTTAAAATTGGAAAATGAAAAGACTCTGTAATTTAAAACTGCAAGAAAGTTTTACAACTATTAAAAAGTTAGTTTTTTGGAGATTCCAAAATGGTGGTGGAGTAAGTGGAAGCTACACTGACACTCTCCCAGGACCAAACTGGAAATACAACTAAAATATAAAAAAACCACCCTGAAAAATCAACTGAAGACTAGCCAGACAGAACCCTGATAATCAAGGGTGGAAAGTGGAGACCTTATAAAGACTGGTAGGAAGGAAGAGGCATGAAAGGGCTGGCTGGGCTCCCACAGACAGCAGCTGAAGTTCCAGAGGGATATCTCAGCTGTGGGTGATTCCCACTGAGAATTCTGGGCTCTAAACCCCAAACTGGGCTTCCCAGCCCAGAGCATCAGAACTGAGAAAGGTGCCTGTGAAAAGCAGCAGGGTTGCTGTTTGCCCGGAGAGATGGATGGAAATGCTGGCACCTTTTCTTATGCTTATTGGCCATTTGTATATCTTCTTTGGAGAAATGTCTATTCAAGTCCTTTTAAAACAGGTTGTGTGTTTATTTGTTTTGCTATTGAGTTGTTGGAATCCTTTATATATTCTGGATAATATTCCTTGTCAGATATATACAAACTAGAGGCCCGGTGCATGAATTTGTGCATGGGTGGGGCCCCTCTGCGTGGCCTGCGGAGATCGGGCCGAAACCTGAATCTAACACTGCCTGCAGCTCCTACCTGCCACTCCTGCTCATCCCGGCCCCACTGCACCTGCCACAGGCTCACACCCAATCAGTCCCGATCGGGAGAGGCTCGTGCTGCCACAGCAGTGCTTGCCAGCCGTGAACCCTGAATCTGGTGCCCTCCTGAAGGGAGTGGCCTATGGGACCAGGCTGAAACCAGCTCTCCAACATCCCCTAAGGAGTCGGGGATTGCGAGAGGGCGCAGGCCAGACTAAGGGACCCTACCAGTGCATGATCGCGGAGGGACCGTGGGAGGGCTCCAGGGCATATCTGGCCCATCATGCTCAGTCCCCATTGGCCAGACCTCAGCAGCAAGCTAACCTACTGGTCGGAGCGTCTGCCCCATGGTGGTCAGTGCACGTCATAGCAAACGGTTGAGTGGCCTTAGCATATTACACTTAGATTGGTTGAACAGTCGACCAGTCACCAGACGATTGGACACTTGGCATATTAGGCTTTTATTATATAGGATATTTTCTCCTACTCCATGGATTGCATTTTCACTCTGTTTATTGTGTTCTTTGATGCACAAAAGTTTTACATTTTGACGTAGTCTTAATTTATCTTTTTTTCTTTTGTTGACTGTGCTTTTAATGTCATATTCAATAAATGATCATCAAATCCAATGTCATAAGGCTTTTCTCATGCTTCCTTCTAAAAGTTTTATAGCTTAAGCTTTTACATTTAAGTCTCTTTTATTAAAAAATTATCTTTAGCCGTAACTGGTTTGGCTCAGTGGATAGAGCGTCGGCCTGTGAACTCAAGGGTCCCAGGTTCGATTCCGGTCAAGGGCATGTACCTTGGTTGCAGGCACATCCCCAATAGGGGGTGTGCAGGAGGCAGCTGATCGATGTTTCTCTCTCATCGATGTTTCTAACTCTCTATCCCTCTTCCTTCCTCTCTGTAAAAATGTCAATAAAAAATCCTCACCTGAGGATATGTTTAAAAAAAAATTATCTTTATTGTTGAAAGTATTACAAATGTCCCATATTTTCCCCATTGACCCCCTCCACCCTGCTCCCACATCCTCCCAGGTACATTTAGGTCTTTATAACATGTTTAGTTAATTTTATATTTGCTTTAAGGTAGGGTCAAACTTCATTTTTCCTTTGTTTTATTTTTATTGACTGATTGATTTATACATACTTAATCCCTTCTCCTTTTCCACCCAGCCCAGCACACCCCCTCCCGTAGTATTATCTGTTTAAAAGACTCCTTTCCCATTGAATGGCTTTGGCATTCCTATCAAAATCATTTGACCATATAACGAAGGGTTTATTTCTGGGCTTTCAAGTCTACTCCATTGGTCTGTGCAACTGTCTTATGCCAGTACAACACTGTTTTCATTACTGTAGTTTTGTTTTAAGTTTTGAAATCAGGAAGTATGAGCTCTCCAACTTTGTTCTTTTTCAAACTTGTTTTGGCTATTTGGGGTCCCTTGAGATTCCATATGAATCGTAGGATGGATTTTTCTATTTCTGCAAAACTCCAAGGGATTTTGATAAGGATTGTACTGAATCTGTAGATAACTTTAGGTAGTATTAACATCATAACAACATTAAAAGTCTTCCAATCTATGAACATAAAATGGCTTTCCATTTATATATGTCTTCTTTCATTTCTTTCAGCAAAATTTTGTAGTTCCTAGTGTAATGTAGTTTCCAGTGTACAAGTTTTTCTCCTCCATAATTAAGTTTATTTCTAACCATCTTATTCTTTTTTTACGCTATTGTAAATTGAATTGTTTTTTGTATTTTCTAAGTCTTATATAAATGGTATCATCCAGTACTTATGTTTTCACAATTTTCTTTTTCTCTATTATTATAGTGCATATATACATACTAAAAGTGTAACGACATGTAACAGAACAACAGACAGCAACTTCAGGATAGCTCTCACCTCTAGGGAGGAAGAAGGTGGAAATGGGATGATGTACAGAAGGAATTTAGCTGTTATCTATAATTTTTTTCTTTTTTAATAGGAAATCATAGTAAGAAGATTTGTATATTTGCTGTGCTTTCCTAATTTGATATATCTTACAACTAAATGTTTTAATTAGATAAAAGAAGTGTGAAAACATGTGGTATCTGAAGCATTACTGTGGGCTAATAAGCAAATATGACTTTGCCTGGACTACCTCTGGGGTCATTAACCTAGACTGTCACCTCTAGGCTAATTCATTTTCTCTTGGCGTGGCACTAGGTAATCTAGAAAACCAAAGCAAACAGTCACAGTTCTCCCCTCGAAGGCCCTAAAAGCAGCGGTTCTACACTGTTAAAATCTTCATACCGATGAGTCTTTACTTGCTCCACACAATTGAATTTGACTCCTTTCATAATACTGATGTCAAATGAAATTCAACATAAATATGCTTTAGAAATAAGAAATACACTATCAGGAGTACTCTCTTTTCATTAGGTTTGATGTTTCTGATAATAGCTAAGGCAATAAATATGGGAAGTAGATTTTGATACTATATAACAAGGTGGATATTTTCTGGGGCAATTTTTCATGCATTAATTTTGATGTTTTTAAAACAGCCCTACTTTCTTCATGAGCTAAAAAGTGAAACAGGAGGTAACAATTCAAAGACACCACTTGAACTGTCAGGCCAATGGCCTCTAGTTTTCCAACATGGAATCTAAACAAGCACAGAGAAATAACAGTTCTAAGAAGTAACCAGGGCGGTTTTCTTATTAAGCCAAGGCACAGCTTAGAAAAATAGCGTGTTGGGGTATCAGATTACCACTACAGTGGTGACTCACAAATTATGCTAAAGTCTACCTTTTTGTAAAGTTAACCTTCCCAAAGGAAAATGCTACATAATAATATTAATAGTCTCCACTACACAACATAATTTGCCACTCAACCTGATGCATGGTTAACTGTCCACTTACAAAGCTATTCTTTAAAACAATCACATGGAAAGGAGGAATGTAAAGTTCCTCACAAAATATATTATAAGACAACTGTTTAATTCCATCACAGCTTTCATTTTAAGAGAGCTGAGTGAAACATCTTTTAGCAACAAATACTTTAGCAGTTTTGGCATATAGAATGAATCACAGAATTTAAACAAAATCAAGGAGACTGCCCTTAATCATGAAGTAATCTCATTTACTTGTGATGCCACCACATAAGGAAATCAGCTTCTCCAGTGTAGCAACTTAGCACTTATCTAGCACACAGCCGGCACAGTCTTGCCTAAGTATTTGTTGAATAAATGAATTCTCATTAATTCTTGACTTCCGGCATTTTCTAGCTGGGATCAAGAAACTGCCATGCACCGAAAACCTCAGCAGGTCTTATTCCAGTGAAATTGTATTATTATGATTTTCATATCCTGTTTAAATCTTTTGACAAAAAGTCATTTTCCCCAAAAACAAAATGACATTTCAATGCAGCTTAGCCATGAGAAAAGGAATGTAAATTAATATAATATTTATTGTGCTAACTGTATGGTAGTTTCTGGGTTCATGCTGAAACTAAAAAAGGACACATGTTAAAATAGAAACTTCATGGTTTTTTCTGGCAATCTCAAACAACAGAATTTAAGCATATTACTTATACCACAGTACAAACACTAAATCTTATTGTAACATTGCTCAGTACAGACAAGAATTAAACTAAAGCAGTTTTGCCGTGGGTATCATCCTAGGGTTTTAAGTTCTTCAAAACAAAAGGAATGTCATCATAAGGTAAATTTAGTCTCAAGAATGTCTCACAACATGAAATCTCAAGAAAATGTTATATGAGGCTTCAGATTATTATTTTAAAAGAATGGTGACCTACCACAGCTATCATGCATTTGGAATTATAATTAAAGATACTCTTCTTTATTGCAAAGCCAAAAGTATCTCAATAACAAAAAAAAAAATGAATCAGGTGTCAGGAGGTAGGTTTAGAACGTGACTAAATCTAGGAATGTCATTTCCTAATTACCATCAGAGAAAAAAAATTCCATTTACATTCAGCTTCCTAAAGAAGATGAAACAAATACAAAGCTATGTTATATATTCAAAAGATGTAAGTCACTGCAGACGTTAAAAGTTATTTCAAATATTCATAGATAATTTCAAAATTACACCACCCCCAAAGAAAAAGAAAGAAAACTTACAGAGAACGTTTTCCCATTGTTTGATGCTACAGCAGTATGAACTTCATCATTCAGTTTTATTGAAAGCTCCCAGTTAGCCACTTGTGGTTTAACAATAGGCACTCTGAAGTAGAAAGAAAAGAAAAACAGTTAATAATTTCATATTTTTATCTCTCAGTAAACTGATTTTCTTTTGAGATTAAGTGTACAGAGTAAAACTGCCAAAGACTGTATTTCAGAACATTTTATTTTAAAGGTTCTATCCTTGGAAAAAAACTAGAGAGATTAAAAAAAAAAAAACCACCACAACAATAAACCCATACACAGACACTCCAAGGACAACAGCAGTCATTCTGGGATAATTGTGGTACCATCATCTATTTGAAGTACCCATCTAGTCTATGAATTCGAGTCACTTTATTTGTGACAGTCCTTCAAAGATTAACCTTCCTTAAACAATATTCATTTCTTGTCAATATTTGGTTACTGCCCAAACTGTTTTTAAAATACTACAATGCTAGTTCTTTCTTTTTTTTTACTGAGTTTGCAAAAAAACCCCAAAACTGTACATAATTAGCATATACTCCTTGGTGAGTTGGGACATATTTATTCGCTTATGTTACCATCACCACAATCAAGGTAATAAACATCCCCATCACCTCCAAAACCTTCCTTTTGTTTTGTTTTTTCATTTGTTTGTTTTGATAAGAATACAGTATCACTAATGCTTGTTGTAACACACAGATTTTTTTCTTGTGCATGATCAATATTACATAGTGCAGAAAAACTGGGAGAAGCAACCAGAAAAAAAAACATTTTTAGAATACAAATATTCGGCACATTTATTTTATTTTTTGTTAACCCTCACCAGAGGATATTTTTAGAGAGAGTGGAAGGGAGGAGGAGAGAGAGAGAGAAAAAGAACAATGTATGAGAGACACATTGACTTGTTGCCTCCCGCATGAGCCCAGACCAGGGCCAGAGATCAAACCTGAAACCCAGGTTCAGTGCAAGGGTCTCTGCTCTAACCACTGAGAGCAACAGCCAGGGCCCATGCATTTTTTTAAAAGTTACAACATTTTAATGATTTCTAAGTTAAACTAATTTAAATATTGTATGTTCACATTATTTATAGTTGTGAAGTAATATGTACTAAATACTAAATATGTAGTACCCAGACTCTGGCTTACGTCATAGTTGTGAAAAAGTGTTGCAGGCTATGTTTTAATTTAACCCCCTATTCCAACCAATTTCAAAAGTGTTTTCTGTGTGTTTGATTTTTTTTAAATGTTATAGTCACAAAAACTTTGAATATAATCAAATCATTTCTAGACATATGTTTAATGGAGAATAATTAATCATTAAGGTAAATATTTGGCCCACTACTTATTTCCTAAAGATGAAAAAGTGTTTTAAATACTATAAGAGTGAAAATTAAAGTGAAATATGCATAAAAAACCAGTAATAATGCATATGAAGGCCTGGAAGAGTCTTTTGGGCATTTTGAAGAAGACTGTTTCAGAACAGAGCATCACACTTGAGAGCTGGAAAGAACAGGGGAGCATACAAGAGGGAGAGAAGGGGAGAGAGAAAAGAGGGCATGGCCCAGAGAGAAGGAAAGGGAGGACAGGCCTTCTGTGCTCCAATTCCACGGGGCATTTTTTTGTTTATGTCTGTCACCCCTATTGGCCTGTGAGATTCTCAAAGACCAAGATCATGCCTTATTTTTATTTATCCCAAAGCATGCAGAGGGTAAGCCCTGTCACTCAAGGGACACAGCATGAACTACTGAAGGAGAGTGAACCTTCGTTAGGGGCAGGAGGGAGAAACAGAACAGTTGAGACTAGTTGGAAGAAATATTAATCATGCTCTGTTAACCATGATTGTTTTGTTCTGATTGAAGAAAGCACATTTTAACCTGGCTGGGAGTTGTACATCCGGGACCTGAGTATTAACCTGGAAATAAGGTCCTTATCTGAGAATTGCCTATCAACATGGAAAGATTAACAACCTTGTTGCTGAAACAATTGCTAAGGGTTGCCTACCCTTAGCAATCCCCCAGCCTGCATTGCCTATAATCTGTAACCATTTTACCCAATTTTATTCCTTTTGCATACACATTCTTACTCCTTTTGCCTACTTCCTTCCGAATATAATCTTTGTCCTTCTACCCAACATAAGCAGTTGGCTTAAAGAGGAGAGGGGGGTGCAAAGCAGACTTTCATGGATGACCTAATGTTCTCCCATACTTCTGGCATTATTGGAATAAATTCTCATGCATGATTCAACCCTGTCTCTGATTAATTGACTCAACTAGTGACAGGCAGCCCGGACCCATTTATTGTCTGATCTCACCTTGAGCTCCCAGATTACAACCTGGCTGCATGTGGACTGCGGAGATGACCTCACTAGACTTCCCTTAGTTAACCTTCAACTGGGGTTATCACCCTGACCTCTCAGGGGCATTGCAGGACAGAAATACTGGGCAACATGGCTTTCTGAAATCTTTGCAGTCCTGATAATTAGGTTACTCTCCTGCTCCAAATTGTTCCAAGACTTCCTACTTCAGCTCAGGTTAAATCTTAACTTACCTGCCATTCAAGTTCCTTAAAATAAGACCCCACTCTTTGTATCTATTTCTGATTACTCTCTGATTTGACTGAGTCAAGTGCTTAAATTGCTTCACAAACCAAACCAAGCCAAGTTAAGAGGAGCAAGAGAAATAAGCACAGAGGTTACAAACTCACTCTGGTGACTTCCAGCTTGCCATTAATCAGTTTGACCTGGAGCAAACTATTCAAGTCTCAGTTTCCTTATGTATAAAATAAAGATAATCATATTGTATGCATCAAAATGATGTATTGAGGATTAAATAATGCGTGTAAATGTTAACTTTTATTGTTATAATTAGTCCCAACTCTAGGCCTATACTCTTATTTTACCCCATAACTGAAATCCCTTTAAGGCAGTGGTTCTCAACCTTCTGGCCCTTTAAATACAGTTCCTCATGTTGTGACCCAACCATAAAATGATTTTCGTTGCTACTTCATAATTGTAGTGTTGCTACTGTTATGAATCATAATGTAAATATCTGATATGCAGGATGCTCTTAGGTGATCCCTGTGAAAGGGTCGTTCAACCGCCAAAGGGGTCACGACCCACAGGTTGAGAACCGCTGCTTTAAGGAAACTGAATTCCTCTCTCTGCTTCTCAAACAGATTTTCTAAAAGAATTTCTCTCATAAGCTGTTCCCTAATTATAGTACACACTTCAGTCATCTTCCTTGCACTTAACCTATATTATATGCTTGATATTTTCATAATTTAGTGGCCTAATGGAGGTAATTCTTTCAAGTAAATGTGGAGACACTTTTTAGTTATGATGCAACAAGCCTGTTTCCAGAGGAGTAAGGAAGTTGTTGATCTTGACATCCTGTTGGAACCCAGAAAGCATTTTCCCACAGAAAGTGATCTTACAGCTGGTGGGGAGATGGAGTTGCCTCTCTTCGGAACCTAACTACTATTTATTTTCCCATTCTTTTATTTTGACCCACATCTGTTTCGTATATGTTATAACCTTCCCAAGAGGGAACTTGCAGCACAGGCTCTTGAGTTAAAATGCTGAGGTCTCATCTCAGCCCATTCTCAGCAATGTCCCCAGGAACTCAGTCAATCCTTTTGAACCCAAATTTCCACAATTGTAAAATATGGATCAGAGCAAAGTTGGGTGGAGGGAGGGTGATAACAGAGGAAAACTGTTGTTTCTTCTCAGCACAAAACCCCTGAAGTGGCACTTTTCTAAAAATTTCTTTTAAGGTGACATGTTAGTAAAATACAGGAAAGAGGTTCCATTGTGAATGCAAAACCTTGGGCTACCAAGTAAAGATCATCAATGTGGAATCTCTTTATGAATTTGATCTTCCACAAACAAAATTTGCTAAGAGTCCTTCTGGCTTTACATTCATTTCAAAGTACTTATGTTTTTAAATAGAATGGATGGGACTGGGCATGTATGTCCCATATAAAAACCAATAAACTATAATACACTATAAATAAAAATAATAGCACATACCAACCTAAAAGGACATAGGCTCTATTTCTTTTCTTTTTTTTTTTATTCCCTCCCCTATATGTTTGTTTGTTTTTTTCTGGAAATACAGACATTTTTAATGGAAGCAAAATGGGGCAACGGCGTCACAGCCAACAGGGACTGAGCACAGGCGAGTCAAGGCCAGTGCTGTGCCCGGGTCATGGAAGCCACAGCAGCCTGGCGGCACGGAGGGGAGTGGGGCTGGCCATGGGGAGCCTGGGAGGAGCCCAGGCTGCCAGCTTCATCCCTGGGGAGAAGCGGAGGCTCTGGCCCAGCTGGTTCTGCGAAAACCTCAAGGGTGGGCACCTGGCGGCTCCGAGTGGCTCCTTAGCTTAATTACTTAATCACACCCGCGAGTAATCAATCAACTCACGAGTATTTAATCGATACCACTCCAGTGAGCCTGCGAGCCGAGTGAGCCTGCGCCAGGTGCGAGCTGGAGGTCGGCCGGGTGCGCACCCAGACTTGCTAGGGCTCTCTTACTTTATCTTTATTGTTATGTGTGTTTTAGAGGATCACTTTAAGTTGACTGGTTCTTATGAGCCTCATGAACTTGGATGTCCAAATATCTCCCCTGACTTGGGGAGTTCCCAGTTAATATGTATTTAAATAAGTGTCTGCCTCTTTCTTTCTCTCTTCTCTTTCTGAACTTGCAACAATTTGCAAATTGTTCTTTTTGTTAGTATTCCATAGATCACATAGGCTTTCTTTTTTCTTTGTTCTCTTCCAACTGGAATATTTCAAAATTTCTGTCTTCTAACTCACAGATGCTTTTTTCTGCTGGATCCATTTTGTTGTTAATGCTCTCTATTGCCACCTTTTTTAATTTTTTTATTTATTCATAGAGTTCTTAGGCTCCGGAATTTTTCTTGGATTCTTTTTTATGATTTCTATCTTTATTAAACTACTCATTTTCTTTTAGAATTTTCTTCACCTTAAGAAGAAACTGAATAGAAGTAAATGTCCATAAACTACTCATTTTTAAATGTATTGTTTTACTGATTTCATTGAATTGTCCTTTCCTTTCTTTCTTCT